AAACACCAATCGAAGAGTTGATAATGTTTTACAAAAGCGTGTTATTATAAAGAATAAGTGATTCTTTTTCTGGAAGAGGCATTTTTTGATGATGACAAGGTGAACTTAAGTTTCTTGAAGAATTTTTATACAAGTGTTTTTTGCTTGCTAACTCTTAAAAAATGCAGGATTACTGCTAATGATGCAATGAAACTAAAAGAAAAAGCTGAAACAGAAAAGAGCGACAGTTTATGTTTTTTGAGGATTAAAAACCATTGCTCTGGCAGTCTTTTGTAATAAAACTTTTGAAAAGCACGCTTACTTCCGTCTTTTCCGGGCGCTCCAGGCGGTCCTCGAGGCCCAGGAGGGCAAACAATTCGTGGTACTTCGCACATGCAGAACGACGGCAATCCTCGAAAATTTGCAGCCTTCCTACGAATTTCTCGTTTGCTGCGAAAAATACTGCCAAAAGCATCCAGCTTACTAACAGGTAGCGATGGTTGGAATTCCCTTTTGAGCGCAATCAGTTCATCCCAGGCATTGTTGGTTTCGTAGCGAAACACTCCGACATCATTCATGACCTCCGCGTACAGATCCTCCATTGTGTTGTAGAGTGATAAAAGCACCATCAGTGCAACAGCGAATGCTGCTCCACCGGTTGCTGTCGCTAACATTACAACAATTTTCACTACATGCATATTTGGTTGAGTACTGAATTTCTAGAAAATGAAGGATTATTTTCATAGTTCAATATTCCATGGCCCAATACAATCTATCTACGACTGATTTTGATGGCAAAATAGTATTTAGCTTGTGCCAGTGAGCCAAAACTTTAGTTGAATTACTCCTAACCAACTCATAGAAGGTAAATTTATCAATAGAATTATAAATGCTTTTTAAAAATTGGCTATTAGCTAACTGTGAAGTATGCTACATGTGTTAAAGAGTGTAGCGGAAGTCCCCGGAAAAGCCGGCAATTGTTGAAAGGGTATGCTGCACAGAGTGCATCAGCCAGACAACACAGAGTGCGTACAGGAATATAAGTGCTCCAGCAGGTGCATGGAGCACAAGGACCGATGGTGCGCAATGCTTTAGCACGTCCCGTCCGGATGTGAAGACAAGTGGTTCGATTTCCTTCAGTTAGTAACCCTTTTCAGAATGGGGCTCTGTATACGAGGAAGATTATGGAATACAAAAAGAAATTATTATATTAAGCTGAAACTGGAACATTTTTGGTCCATTGAGTTGCGCGCTCTTAACTATATCCTAAATTAATTTATCAGGAGAAATCTATATGATAGAAATTATGCGAGAAATCGCATCCCTGTCGTGGAAACATTATAACTATCTCAGCCTGTTGTTTGGGCCGTAGCTTCACTTTCCATCAATGGCACACAACCTTAGTTTCTACTGGTACAACCATGTTTCCTGGATGTTTCTGCTGCACCCTACAAATGATGCTTTAGATATACTTTATATTATTTGTTGCTATTAACTTATGATTCTCGCTCTTGTTTTTAAGAATTCATTCGTTGCAGAGGGCTATTATTCCATTCTTTTAAATAAAACAATCAAATAAGATCTTTTCGCCTAATTGCACCATTCCCTTGACCGCTTCTTATTCCCAGTAAGCTTGGAAATTGCTATAAGCTTAAGCAGTGCACAATGACTTTGCGTCAAAAATGCCGGAATGTGCACTACGAGGGGTGCGAGGAGGCAGAAATCAGGAGAAATGTCTGCTGGTCATTGA